TTATTAATATTTATTTTGAAATCCGGGATCCTGCCTCTCTTTTTGCATCACTTCTTTGAAAGAAACTTCTGTGCTGGGCGTGCTTCCCCCGAAGGTCGCTAGAGGCTGGAAGCAGATGTTCTTGCTTCAGTTGGAGTAGACGTGCATTTGTAGGAACCGTGCATTTATTTTAGAAACGGGCAGAGTTTCCCAGTCGCCTTCCTGCAGCGGTAGTTGTTTTCCCAGCGGTCTATGGCTGCAAGCACCGTGCAGGGAGTAGTAGAGAGCAGGGCTCTTATCGAGTGGCTCCTTATCATTTTGATAGTGGGTGGCTGTGCCAGGGTCCCACCCGCTCCGACCGGGCGCTGGGGACGGTGGCAGGAGCCTGGGAAAGGCCATTTTCCACAAGTGTTTGCATGGTACCATCTGTATTCGTCACCCGATTTACTGTGGGGTGACGCAGCGGAGCGGTGTGGAAACGCCTCGGTGCTTCGAAGAAGTCCCCCGTGGCAGCAGGTCTGGCTCTAGCGTGGGACCAGGTCGGGCCGTTACACCCAGATTGGGACATCGGCTCCATTATGTTTTATTTTGAGACTCTTAAGCACCCTGTGAGGAGAGCATCTTGCTGTTGGGCAGCTTGCTCAGTTAGGGGAGATGAGGAACCTTTTCTTAGAAGCAATAAATGACCACAGGCCCTCCCAGAGCTATCACACAGGGGCTGCGGAGGTTGTTCCTAGTGAACTAACCCAAGCTGAGCTGCAGTTGTTGGGCAGAGTGCCTCGCTTTCGGACCCGTGTGGGAGCCAAGGAGCACGCCCTTGTTTCACTGGTCTGGGGTCAATGTGATGCCATTGACTTTTCAGGACAATTTCTCACTGAAGTCAGTGTCTGCTCAATGCCAGTGCTGTGATATAGCCCAGCTGGCCGCGCGCTCCTCAATTCTAGCAAGTTATAATTCAAGAAACACATCACTCCATAATGCAGAAGGAAAAAAAACCCTCTAACTGGTGCATGAAGTTGATGGAGGACCTTCGTCAGCCTTTTGCGTGGTCGTGACTCTTACAAGGACAGCAAGAGCCAGTTAGATGACCTGGTCCAGCAAAGCACTTCTAAGGACTTGCTTAACTTTAAGCGCATGACTGCTGATGGGCTGCTGCTTAAAGCCGAGCTTGGGAGCTTTGCTGAAGGGAGGTCAGGCTGAGCAGGATCATGGGAGGGGTGCCAAGGGGTTTGTTGGGATGGAACTAAGTGACTTTGGTGGCTTGTTGGGAGAAGGCAGCCCAGTCCCTGGTGTCACAGTGTGCCAAGAGAGGAGCATCTTCTCATCGCCCGACGCCCTTTTTCAGTCCTTCCAACCTGGTCAGGGAGCTGTTGTTAAGCCTGTGTGTGTTTGAGCCATGGTTGGAGGGTTGTCTCCCAACGCAGACGATGAAAGCATCGTTCTTTGGGAGCAAGGTGCCATTTTGTGTGCTTCAGGTTGTGGGTGCCCAGGCAGGCACTTTCAGTAGTAAAGCCCACTTGGGAAGGTCAAGGTGGAACCCTCATTCTTCAAAAACTTGAAGAGCTCTTGGTTTCAAGTTGCTTCCAAGTGGGTTTTTTTCCATTGGGTGTTTATAACCTTGGAAGAGTTCCTGCCTTGAAGGAGAAAGCGCAAGGGTTTCGTTGACAAACCGAACACAGCACTAACAAAGTTTTTTGTTTTTCCAGAGTCTCCACCACCTCCCTACTCTCGGCTGTCTCCTAATGATGAGCAAAAGCCACTGGGTATGTATTTTCTCTCTTTTGATCTCCCGGCAGCTCTTTCATGGTGCAGTCCTGGTGTTGGTTCGAAGGCATCCCTACACGGCACGTCAGGCAAAAGCCAACAAGTCGGGATTTTATGGCTGCTCATTATTTCTGAGCAAGCTGCAGCTGACAGGTTTTAAGAAGTAAATGGATGTCAGTTTATCATACCAAATTACTGCATAGACACATGCATATTTTCCAAAATAATATGAAGCGCTATCTTTAATGAAGGCGTAATGAAAGGTTACCAGGCGCCATGTTTTGTCTGCGTGTGTAATCTGTGGGATGACGGAGCGGAGGGGGAGTCGGAGCTCCTGGGTGCCATTTCCATAAAGCCCTGGCTGCGCAGTGCCGTGGAGGAACCGGCTATTACCCTTCCTCTCATTATTAAAATGAGACGTAAACTCTTTGAAACTCGGCACTGTATAATTTCTGAATGGCTTTTCGCTTTTCCTGATGAATTATAAAAGCGTTTTAAAGCGAGTGAAAGCACCTTGGGTAGGCTGGGCATGAAGGGAAGGCTGCTGGAGAGCCTGGCACAGGGCAGCCTTGGAGCCTGGTCCTGCGTGGTGCACGCTGGCTTGGAGATGTTCCGAATTGGCATCGCTGCATCCTGACCATCCTTTCTTAGCATCCGCTTCTTGCTCAAGTAAATGGGAAGCAAAGATGTGGGAGGGAAGAATCCCATGTCCCTCTTGGGTTTCTTGCCAGGATCGGTGCAACTGAGTGTGGGATTTCTGCCTTCGTCCCGTAATCGGTGCCTCTGATTTACAGAGGGGGTAATGGCTGAGGGGAGCTGCTTTTGCTTCCCCCCCCCCGCCCCCCCCCATCAGGCAGGGATGGGGAGGTGGCAGAGGGAGACAGGCGGGGTTTGCCAGGGCGACAGGAGCAGGACAGGGTGCCTGCCTGTCCCACCCAGCCCCGAGGGAAGGCGGGAGCTGCCCTGTGCCAAAGGTGAGTCCCTGCCCTGCCGGGCCTGGGAGCTGCCTGCGACCTGCCTGCGATGCAGCCGCTCGTGCAGCCAGTGCGTGCGCGCCTGGCGGAGGGACCGGCTCCTTCATCCCTGCAGCCGATCTGTGGCATGGGGCAGTGACCAGAGTGTCCTGCCAAGCAAAATTTGCTGGTCATGTTTTTTTTTCCTTTTTTTTTTTTTGTTGTTAGTTATGGAGGAAAAAAAGGAGTTGTCCCTCCCCATGCTTCCCCTTCCAAGTTAATTCCCTTTAGAAACTGCTTGTGCTGCAGGGAGAGATGATAGTGAGTGACACGTGACTTTATTAAAACAACAGCCAGGGATTGAAATTTGCTTCACTGGCTTGTTTGATTGGAAAAATAATAGTTAATCTGTGAGCAAACAGTTGAGCACTTAATTAGAGGGGTGTAAGCAAGAGAGAATAACAAAGACTCTTAACTTGTTAAAACAAAGTTTCCTTCGCTTCAGCAAAGAGGAAGGAAGGAAGGAAGCAAGAATAAACAGCTTCAAGAATTTTAATGGTGATAATTAAGTATAGTAACTATGAATTGTTTAGAGGCTTAATGTAACTTTATCCAGTAAGCACCAAGTTCCTACTTGTTTGATCAACTTAACTGCAGTTATTTTTGTGGTCGAAGCAATTCAAACTTTGCATTTGTATGGTAGAGGTACAAAGTTAATCGCTGCTTTGTGGCCCAGTGGAGAGTTTCTCTTGGGGAGAGGTGGGCTGGCGATGGGAAGCAAAAGAGCCACGGGTGCTCATGTAGTGCTTGCAAACGCAGGAGGACTAAAAATGCTTTTTTTTTTTTTTTTTTTTTTTTCCCCCCCCCAGATCTATCAGATTCCACGTTGTCTTACACTGAAACAGAGGCTACAAACTCGCCCAACGTCACGCCCGGAGACTTCTCAGGTTGGCAGATGTTTGCGCTTTCCCGCACGCGTGGTCTGCGCCGGGGAGCTCGTGGTTGGGGCAGGACAGCAGGAGGAGACGGGGGGGTTGTGGTGCTGCTGTTGGTTTATGTTCTTGGTGTGAAAAGAAGGAAAAAGAGAGCAGCTATTTGAGTTGATTGTTCAGAGACGTCTGCGCTCCGCAGGTTGCTATAAGATGCTGTTTGTCCGATGAGCGTGCTGGGACGTTTGGGAGGTGGCTGCGGGGCTGTGCGCGTCCCCCGTGGAAGCTGCCTGGACCTCGCTTGAGCCCCGGGGTCGTGGGCTGGCGTGGGGCTGGGCTGTACGCCGTCACCGTTCTTGTGGCGGGAGCGGTGAGGCCACGTCAAACGGTGCTGCTTTGTGCTGGTTCTTGCCGAGTCCGTCCAGCTTGCGTTACCTGTTGGGTCCTGGCCCTACGGTGCAAACCCTGCTTTCATGAGCAGAGCTCCCAGCTACGATGCCATTGAAGCTCCTGAACAAAGTTTTGCTTAATTAGGTCCTGTTTTTTTTCTCTGCCCCACCCCTGCAACCTTTCATTCATTTAATGGTGCTCTGGAGGGCCTGGGGTGGTTTTACCTGCAAGCAGGTAGAGAGTTGGGGCTTTCATTTGCTTGGCGTTGGGCTGTGGCTGCGGTGATCGTTTCATGTCCTTCCCCTCCGCTGTCCCGTCCTGGGCTAGGGGCTGGCTGCATGGAAGAGAGGAGGGACCTGTCTATAGGACCAGGTTTAATTTCTATGTAAAAAATGACCTGGTTAATGGTCTGAGAGCTAAGATGAAGGTAGACAAACCTTCATCCCGGTGAAGCCTCATGGACCTCCTTCAGCGGTTGGGGTGGGCTTTGCAGTAGGGTAGGACTTGGGCACCTTGGTGCGGAGTTGCCGGATTGTTGAGCGTGTGGATGGGGTTTGCTGCTCTCTCTGGGGGATGCTGTAAGTCGATGGTGGTGGAGAGGACCCTTGGGGTACTGGCCCGTTAGCCGTGGCTTTTCTCTCCTCCTTCTCCTGCCTGCAAGAGTTTACGGACGGTTTGGTGAGACCTGGACTTCCTTGGGATGTTTCTGCCCATCAGACTCTGCAGCACTTTAAAGAGCATCTAAACAGCATGGCACCACAGTGGCGTGGTGGCGCATTTCCCTCCGGGGATCTTCCCTTCTCCTTCTCCTTTAAGGTTCTCCTGCCCTGGTCGGTTTTGCCGCGGTGCTGCCGCGTGCCGAATCCAGCGTGCCAGCCTGCCTTGCTTTTGTTGTGCTGCCAAGTGTCCATAGCAGGGGAACAATTGATAGCCAGGAGTTGGATCGTTCAGGGTTGTGCTATAATAAATATGTGTTTGCAATTCCTAACAAACATTCCTCGGGCTGGATACAAGTCCGTAAAGCTCCCCATGCCCATGGCTTTTATTGTAACTTGATAATTGCCATTAATTATAGCAGCCGAGTTTGAAAACCGGGGTTCCTAAGGATGTAATGGTTTAGCTTCTCTCGCAGCTGAGCCCTTTATGGGGCATCTGGTGGATTTTCTGGAATAGAAGAGAGATTTTAACTTTTACTTGACCAATATAATGATAACATGTGACCGAGATTGTACTGAAATCGGATACCTCCTCTCCCCCGTGTAGTTTCCAATGGTGTAACTTTTAATAAGAGTCTGGGGCTGTGCGATTTATTTTTCCCCAGTGCTCATGATTGCTGAAAGAGGATAAGAGCTTCAGGGAAGTTAACCCATGCTTGTCATCATGGGGAAGTAAAAGGAAAAAAACCCACTTAGACTCTAGTCTATCTGCCATGTTTCAATTTGTTTGTTTGTTCTCCATTTCGACTTATTTAATAGGTCTGCTTGAAATGTAGGCCTGTGTAAATGATACACAAAACATGCGGTCTTCCCTGCCTTTTCTTGTGTGTACCGAAGGAGCTCGACGTGCGTTTGACTCCCGTTCCAAAAATAAGTACATTTTGGATGTAGTATCAAGCCACTACTATTTATTGCTTCAGCTTTGATCATCAAAAAGGCTTTTCCTACTAAAACCACAAAATTCAATTTTGGGTAACAAAGAGAACCATTCTTCTACTGTTATTTGTTTACTTGATGAACTTCTAAACAGGAAGTTTTAGCATGAAGTCAAAAGATCATCTCTGTCATATGCATAAAATTAAAAAAAAAAGCCTCTTTTTGAAGTAGACCTTTTTGTGGCTGTAATACCGCTCTTAAAAACAGGAAAAAGTCTTCAATGAACTAGCAGGCTCGCTATAAAATTCGGAGTAACAGTCTCTGCTAACTGGAAGCACAAGTTGTGAGTAGTTGTGCAGATGCAACCTTGTGTGTCATGAACTGGATCGATGGATAATGCCCCAGAGTCCTCTTCATCTGAGGTTCAAAGCGTTTGGGTCATGAAATGAAGCTGTCTGTCCAAGGATCAGTGTCCAGCCACAGCATTTCCCTCGGATTGGGGATGCTCCTGATTTCTCAGTGAGGTACAATGGCTTGGGAAGATCTGGGTTGGTGGGAAAGGCACTTGGAGGTGTTTGATCCCAAAGTTTCCATCTTCCGAGCTCAAGCAGTGTCACATTCAGGCTTGCGGGAGTACGAAGAGGGGCTCCATCTTTTCCTCGTTAGATTTATTTCTGCAGCCATGTATGCCTGGGAAGCAGAAGTGAAGAAACCCTGCTGGTTTGGGAGTTGTATTTTGGGCTCAGACGGTTCCCCTGGCCGGGGTTGTGCCTGTCCCCTGGGTGCTGGCAGAGCCTTGGCCGGCATTGGCGTCCCCGCGGCTCCCCTGGACGGAGCTGGGGAAATACCAGGGAAAGGGCAAAATCCAGCAAAGCAGGAACAAAAGCTCAGCCCCGTGACTCATAATTGGTGGAACATTTGTAGTAAATTTTTTTTTTCCTTCCCCTCAGACTTGGCTCTTCTACTGCATGCCAAGAAGCTGCTGTACCCGTTAGACTTGCCAGGCTTGTAGAGGGCTGCGCTGCTGCTGTGGGAACTGGTTCAGTATGGTGGGGACGTGCTGGAGCAGATGTGGGCCATGGGCTTTGGGATTCCCTGCCTTCCCCTAAATCCCACAGGGCTATCTATCCCTCACCTTCCTTGGGAGGGACCCTCTCTTAAAGACGATGAAATAGCCCCGCTCCTTGGCGCTCCCCTTGCACAGCACGCTGTGTCAGTCTGTCTTTTGGGCTAAAAAAGCCCCATGAATTCTTCCAAGTGGCGACCAGAGTTCTCGTTAGTGGTGGCATTAAATTCTGGAGGTCCTGAGGACCATGCAGGAGGGGAAGGGTTGAGCACAGGTAGGAGGGCAAATGGTGGTGGTGCTGCTTGGGAGCCTCCTGTAGGTCTCCATGCTGACTGGACTGTTGCTTGTGGCTGCTGCAGGTCTGGAGCAGCTTGTCCGTCCTGTAGAGACTGCAGAAATGTTGGGGCATCAGTTTTCTTGGGAGCAATAATAAATAAGGATGAGTAATTAGCTGTAGGAGCAGACACAGTGATCGGTGCAGCTCACTGCTGCCTGGCAGCAAAGTCCCCAGCCGCCGTGCAGAGGTCCTGCACCGGCTGGGAGTCTCCATTGAAGGTATTTAACAAAGACTATGCCTGCAGCAGTCGGTGCCAAGCTCTTATGATAGCTATTTTTCCTCAAAAAGAGCCACTCATCACTAGAGCCTGTCTCATATGTCCCTACATGCCTGCTGGTTACTCCTTGCTTAATCGGGAGTCATACCAGTGTTTGTGCAGAAAGTTTCATTGTTCATATGGAAATGCCTTTGTGAACTGATGTTGCCCGCGAGGCTCGAGCCCTGTGTGTGGCAGGGTTTTCCAGAGGGAGAGAGCTCCTTGCCGAGCGTGGGTGTCCGTGTCCAACCCGCCTCCCTTTAGCTCTGCAGTGCGCCGGAGGACCGCATCCTGCACCCGCTCCTCCTGCCACAGACCGGCCAAGCCAGTGCCTGGAGTTGGGGGATGCTCAGCACTGGGTAGATTCAGTTGGACAAATGAAAGCAGTTTGGTGCTCGGTAATGCACCTGAGCAGAGAGAAGAGGAGAAATAAGTGCTACCAGGGGAGAAGTGAGAGCTGGGAATGGGAGAAGGGCAGGAGGAGAGTGGGGACAGCAGGGGCTGGTGAGCAGTGAGAAGCCAGGGAAGATGCTGCTTTAGATTTTTCCAAAATTACTAATTTTTTTTTTTTTTCAAAATCAATTCACTTCCCATGTGCTAAAACTCTTCAAGAGTTCCAGCTCTGGTGAACCCATTTGTAGCTGAGAACATGCATCTGAAAGAAGAAATTGTGAGTTGGTGGTTTGTTGGAGTGATTAATTCCTCTCCGTGGTGGGGAGCCGTACCCAAGAGTGGAAGCGCGTGTGTGAGTCTGCTCCGAGCAGCTCTGCCGAAGCCTAGAAGGTGATGGGCTCCATGGACAGATGAGCTCTGCCCAGTGACTTTGTGTTATCGCCTCCAAAGTTGGTGAAGGATAAATGTGAATTAACAGAAAGAGGAGAAACAAAGAGAGACTGAATGGGCTGGAGCTTATTTAAATTGTTTTGGGTTTTTTCCCCAAGGCCTGGGAAGGTGGAGAAGTTGCTTGCAGGGGGTATCAGGTTTTAGGAGCAGGGTCCCCATACCCCCATAAGGAGGAGGAAGGCCGGACCGTGCCTGTCCATCCCAGCTGATGACTCAGCCCCGCTGAAGCAATGCCACAGCTCCAAAGCGAGAGCCATAGGGGTTTTTCTGCTTCCAGCAATATTTAGGATGAACTTAAGGAAGCATATTTTAAAACCCACTGTCCCCCGAAATAACAGACTGCAAGGATTTATGCTAACAAGGAAATTTATGAAGATCCTGTGTGTTAGGAATAGGGGAAGAAAAAAAGCCTATAAATATGTAAGGCGGATATGTGTGGAAACTGGGCAAACATTGCCCTTTCCAGACTGGGGGAGAGATTGTGAAATTACCTGTTAATAGAGAGAAAAAAAAAAAGATAGTTTTCTCATTAAC